CTAAAAACAGAAAAAAAAATAATAGTCAAATTAGACAGCCATTTCATTTATTATAATAATTTTAATTATTTATTTAAAATAAAGAGTTGGATAAAGAATTGATAGGAAATGGCCTAAAAAAAAAATATTACTAAAATTAGACAGCCATTTCATTTATTATAATTATTTCTCTTTTTTTTTTTTTGCGAAACTATTTTTAGGAAAAAGAATTGAGCAAATTCAAAAATGGAATAAATAAATTTGCTAATGTCAAAAGCTTCAATTATGTCATAAATTTTTCATTTTCTTTTTTTTTGTTTAGTAAAAATATCTAAACCAATTTCATTTTACGATTTACATCTCTCTCTCTCTCTCTCTCTCTCTCTCTCTCGCTCTTTCTATATATCCATCTTTCAGAAGCTGTCATTGTTTTTTTTTCTTTTTTACTTTTCAAATTTTCATTTTAAAAAAATTTTTCTGAATTTTCTTCAATTTTTTTCTTTCCTACCAAAAAATTTGTAAATAATATTTTTGTTTACTTTTTTTTATTCTTGCATTTGAATGCAATTTTATGTTTGCACGAATTTTTATGAATATTTAATGAAATGTATAAAAATAAAATTTTATCGTTTAAATTTCAATTTAATTTTTTTTATTACCAGTTTTAACATTATTGATCGAATGAAATTAAATAGTTTAACAGATAACGAAAGATTTCGTTTTCGTTGAATTTTTTAATCTTTCAATTTTCCATTGCATATACAGCAAAGTGATACATTAAAGTAATGAAAAATTGAAAATACAATTTGACAATTTTGCGTGTAAATTTCAACTTTCTAATTAGTAGCAATGTAATGCTACGGATAAAATGCTATAACTATTTATTGAACGTTGAAATTTTCATGCATTTTTGTAATTGATTAAATAATACAATTAATTGCTAATAATAATTGATTGTTTAAATTTGTAAAATTATTTTAGATAATTAACGTTAGCGGTCGTTATATTTCGTGTATTTCAAAATATTCATATCTGAAATTTTTTTCATTTTTCGAAAAATTTTTTTTCTTAATCTTGAAATTAATTATTATTAATAATTATCAATTATTATCCTGAAATTAATTATCATAGATTAAGTATTAATAAACTAATTATTATATAAGCTAATTAGTTTGAAATATTTTCCAGAAATGATGCAAAATACTTGACAATATTAATAAATTTTTTTAAATTAAATTTTATGCGAATTAAATATTCGCAATGATTGTATGTAATGATGATTTAATTAATTTTAATTTTAATTATTTTACTTAATTTCATGCAATAAGCAGAATTGAATTTTCGTAATAATTGTTTATATTTGTTAGCATAATTGAATTAATTTTATTTTAAATTATTCTTTTTGGTTTTAAATAGAAATATTAAATGTTCACAAATTGCTCCTAATTTATTAGCATTGTTTAATAGTAATTTTAATTAAAATTTTTCTTTAATAATCTTTGTTTCAAAAATAAATGTTTAATTTTGACAAGAAGAAATTTTTTGATTTTCGTAAACTTATCTATCAATAATCATTTCATAAGTCATCCATTTTTCCTCCTCGTTGCAAACTGATTATTTTGTTATCACATATTTCGATTCATTTCACTAATTCATTTAAACATTACGAAATGATAATTGATAAACAAATCTGTTTATTTCTTTTAGATACCTTGCATTATTTCGCACATATATTGAATTATTATTTCATATTCTATTAATCAAAATTTTTTTGTTGTTCTTCCTAAAATCCATTTGTGATTTTTTTTTGTTCTTCCTAAAATCCATTTCTGGTTTTTTTGCCGTTCTTCCTAAAATCCATTTCTGGTTTTTTTGCTGTTCTTCCTAAAATCCATTTCTGGTTTTTTTGCTGTTCTTCCTAAAATCCATTTCTGGTTTTTTTGCCGTTCTTCCTAAATCCATTTCTGATTTTTTTTATTTATTGTTGAAAAAATTTAATTTTTATTTCTTGTCCATTTCATTGAACAAATATATTAGTTCTTTTTCAATTTACTAGATAAGATAATGGTGTGATAATGAATGAATTTATCTAATTTCATTATTTAATAATTCCTGCCATTTTTTTTTTCCTAGCTATACATTATATTTGCTTTCAGTTTCTTTTTCTTGGCCTCTTGGCTACAGATCATTCGTTCCCATGGAGCTTTTCGTAATTTGCTGCAAAAAGTCAAAGCTGATATTTGAATTATTCATTAGTTGACATAAGTAAAAGCTAAAGTAATCATTTACTTTTTCGTTTAATATTTTTTTTCATAGAATTAATAATTCAACTTTAAATTATAGCTTTTAGTAAGAAAAGAACAACAGAGTAGTTTGCACATTTTTGTTTGCGAATTCAAATTTAAATAAAACAAAATACAAAGTGAAAATTTGCACGATTTTTTGTTTAAAAATTTAAAACTAAAAAAAGTTTAAATTAAAAAAAGAGTCTATTTTTGCTTGATTTTACGTTTAATTTTGGAGAAATTCAGGTTAGAAGAAGAATTTAAGCAATTTTTCTTGCAAATTTAAATTAGAAATCTAAATTAGAAAATAAATTTTTATATTTTTTAATTTCAAATTAAACCTAAAATAAGTTAAAGTTAAAAGAAGAAAAAAATGCTTCATTTCATTTCAAATTTAAGTTAAAGGAAGTTTATATATGAAAATTGCACGTTTTAACGAAGAATCAACATGCAATCGTACGTTGCCTCATAAATTGCAAGTTTAATTTGATAATTCATAATTAAAACATAGTAATACATAATTGATGATTACTAAGCATGATGACTACTGAGCAATGTATATATTATATTATATATTAAAATATATATCATATAAATTATTTATGTGAGAATTTTATTGATCGGTCCATTTTCGACAAAATTAATTTCTCTTATTTTTTTTTACCTAAAACTAACCATTTGATAATTGTTGAAAATTTATTTAAAATTTTTAAAATTAATACATTTCGTTTTTAGGTCAATATAATGTGTTTTATTTGCTTAACATGCGAATATTTACAAAACATTAAGCATTGAATGAATTTTATGCTTTCATTTATGTGTAAGTAATAAGTATAAAAATGGATTAAAAGATTTCTTTCAAATTTTAGTTTATAACGTATAAAATGATTATTATTAAATCTTCGTGATAAATGCAAAAATTCTACTTATCAAATTGATAATAGTACAGTGATATTTAAATTTGATTTCCAGCTTACATGTAACATGAAATGTTAATTGATGATTAAACAAAAGAAAAAAAATAATGAACATTACAAATTCATTAACTGATAAGTTCGATGAATGCGAAAATAGATCGGAAAAAGAAATACGACTAGAACCGGATAGCTCTATTAATGGTGCGTTAGCTTTCCGATTAGGCGGAAGCAAAACACGTGGTTTCTTTATACAACATGTAAATCAAAAATCAAAACAGGTATTACATTATAATTAATGAATAACTGAATATTCATATCTAATATTTATGATCATCAAAATTAAAAGTAGAAAAAAGTCTTTGATGTTTAAAATTTTCCTTTTCTTCTTTGTTCTTATTATTTATCTTTTTATTTTGCTTTAAATATCCATCATATCACTGACAATAAAAAGGATAAAAAGATAAGTAAGCATAAAAATAGTTCTAATTTAAAAAGAGAAGCAAGATAATGCTAAGAAAATTATTGCTTAGAATAATTATCATTTCTTTCATCCTTTTTTCGCTATCATATTTGTGATAAAAATATAAATGAAGAGTAGTAAATTTTAAAAACTTATGCCAAGTATCACTTAAATGAATTTAAGTAATTTAATATAGAAAATACAAGCGTATGTTATTTCATCTTTCAAGTATTTCAATTCATATCAATTCGGCAGCAAATTTATATTCATTTATATAAGCATGAAAATTCTTTTACTCTTGTCATTTTCCATCTGTTACAGTCAAAATTTCTCTACAAAGGTGATCAAATACTAAAAGTGAATGGCGTTGACGTGCGACGTTTGACGTGTGATCAAATTGTTAATATACTTCGTGTAGCTGTATGTAGTAATGGTTATGCATTAATACAGGTAATTTCTTTTTCAATAAAAATTGATTAGATAAGTTAGGTCAAAAGAAAAATAGAGAATTAGTAGAGAAAAGAAGTGTAAAATATTTTTCAAAAATTAATTTTAGGTAAGTCGGAAATTACGTTACAAGGATGATGTATTAGGTGATGATGTTATTAATAATAAAGATGAAAATGGTAATTTGTGTTATTGTTATCCGATACATGATGATCTAGCAATTAATGATAGTAATGCAATTGAACCAGTATCGCTTTCCGATACAATAATCGGATTCAATCAATCGATGATTTATGCTCGAGTAAGAAATAATTCATTAATTGTTTGCATAAGAAAACATTATATTGGAATTCTTTTTTCTTTGTTTTAAAACAATTATTTATAAATAAAACAATGGAATACTTTAAAAAAAAAAGTTTTGAAAATTTTCAAAAATTAATTTTAGGTTAATAACATAACGCAAAAAAATACTAAAAACAGAACAAATAAATAAAGTGATTAATTAATAATCAAAAAAAAAATGATGAATGAGTAAACAAGTAAACAAGTAATTATATTCTAATTAAATAAAATTTTAATAGGCGATAACATCCTCCGTCCATTATTGCGATGATTTAAGCGAAACTGAATGTACACAATTGGTTTGCAACAATGATGAAAATGAGAAGCACTATTCGTTATGTAAGCAACAAAGGTAAAATTTGAAATTGAAAAATGAAAATTTGAAGAATCAGATTTTTTGGTAAATTAGAATTTTTGAATTAGATAAATTAGATTTTGGTAAATTAGAATTTTTGAAAACTTTTTTTTCTTCCAAAAATTTGAAATTTTAAAAAAATTATGAAAAAAATAATTATTTTAGGAAATTTTCGATGTTTGGTTATGTTAGGCAATTTGCTGATGATGAAAATGATTATGAATATGACGAGAAATGTGTTGAATGTCCGAAATGTTCCACTAAGGTTAATTATATATTATTTATTAATTATAATTTACTATTTTAATTATTGTAATAGCAATAATTTAAAGATTATTTAATTGAGAAATTAATACAATATTAAGTAATAATGTAGTAAAAATTGGAAGGATCAAAAAATTAATTTATTCATTTCTTAATTATTTATTAAATAATTATAGCTTATTAAAATTGCTTAGCTAAGTAATTAATTCATTGATTTAATTTATTAAATAATTTTCATTTGCTAAAAAATTAAAGTTAAAAATTTATTATTATTTATTTTTTTAGTGGCGCTGGCATATTGTTAAACATCGTTTGGCAACAAATGCGATGAAACTTTTTCCAAAATCTGCATCTGATTTCTTCGGTTTACACATTTATCAAAAAGCTTACTATAATTTAATCTAATTTTGTTAATTGTAATTCAATTTGCATATTTCTTTGGAAATTGTTGAAGAGTGGAATTTTTTGGATATTATTATCCTGAATATTTCGATAATCATTTGTTATATGTATTTTCGTAAATCATACATATTAATTTACGAATTCACATTCGCATATCACACACTTAACAACACATTTAATTCACATTTGTCCTATAATTATTGAAATATTTTAAAATTAAATTTTTCTGAATTAGCAATTAAAGTTAGACAAATATTGCTGTTTTAATTTTGTCCTGATCCATTCTATTAAACTTAGGCAATTATTACTGCTTTAATTTATCCCGATCCATTCTATTAAACTTAGGCAAATATTACTAATTTCATTTATTCTGATCCATTCTAATAAACTTAAATAAATATTACTGCTTCAATTTATCCCAATTAATTCGAACTATTTTCCGTTGCATGTTACTATATTATAAGTATTGATTTACAGTTAATTGATAGTGAAGAAGCAGCTAATTGCATAGATGAAGCGGTGAGAGAGGAAGCAAGCATGCATTACTAATATTATTATAAAATGAAAATTAATAAAGTAATTTAAAATTCAAAAAAAGAAACTTTATTCAAAAATAATTTTTTAAATAAATATTTCAAATAATTTTAGAACAAGCAATAATTTCTTAGATAAATTAATTGATATATTGATTAAAATTTAAATTAGATATTAACTTAAAATTTGTTTTTGCTATTAATTCATTTTTATTCTCAACGAATAATTCATTATTTAATTTCTTGATTAAATAATAGTAATTTCAAATTTTTAAATGATTTTTCTTCCTTTTTTGATTAAATGTAATTCTACCTTTTTTTTAGAAATTATTTAATTGTTTTTATATTTTTTACATTAATTGAGGAAAAATAAAAATCGAATTGAAATATTTGAATTTTCATAAATTCCTTTGAATTTGATTTTGTCACGTTCTTCTCAAATATTCCTTCGTTTCATATCCCTAATAATTCAGTAGTATAAGTAGTTTAGGTATTAAATTGAAGTATTCAATTAATTAAAAGTATTGAAAGTCAGGTATTAAAATAATAGTATTATTAGGTTAGGTACTAAATAAATTTAAAATCCTTTCACATATTATTTATTAAGTTAGATATTTAATAAAAGGAAAAATTTAATAGATTTTTATATATTATTAAATTAGGTATTAAATTAAAGGATAAATTTAACCTTCACTATTATTAAGCCAGATATTAGACTAAAATTAGACTTAATTAAAAGACTCTTCACGTATTATCAAGTTAGATGTTAAACTAAAGGATAAATTTAACAACTCTTCACGTATTATTAAGTTAGATATTAAATTACAAGGTAAATTTAAGACTCTTTACATATAATTTATTAAGATGTTTAAAATATCAGATTAATTTAAAATAGAAACAATTTCATTTCTCTTCTATATCTTCCATTCATTTCAAGATAAGATAACAAAACTGTTGAAAAATTTTTTGAAAATTACTGAATAAATTATCGGTAAAAAAGCATTTTAATAAAATAACAATTTTTAGGCTAAAAAATTTTTAATTTTTCCTTTCATTATTTTATGTAAATTTTTTCAGTAATAATAATATGCAAAAATTTGCGCTAAATTTATCAATATAAAATGTCGAAATAATTTTTGCATCATTTTATATTATTATTTTCTTCTCTCTCTACTAACATACTGATTATAGATAAGAAAGGATGTCATTAATTACTACCCCATTTAGCAATTTAGGAATTGATCTTGCACCACCGTATAGATTGGGGTATTAAATATTTTTATTCGCTCTTTAATTTCTTTGAAATTAAATAAACTTATCATTGAATAAACTTTTATCAATTCAATTAAATTTTATGATTCAACTCTCGAAAATATTCTTAATCGTAATTAAATAAAAAATATTAATTGATAAATTCATTATCATTCCATCAAATAGTATAAATAACTTTCTTTGTTGAAAGAATAATAAATTTAGATTAATGGATAAATAAACATTTTTTATCGTTCTATAATTTCATTGAAATTAAGTAAACTTTTAATTGAATAAATTTTTGTCAATTTAATAACATCTTATGGTTTTAATTTTGAAAATATTCCTCATCGAAATTAATTAAAAATATTAATTGTTGAAACAGAAGATTCATTCTTTATTATTATCATTTCATAAATTAGTATTTCGATTTTATTCTATTATTTTTTCCTTCCGAATTTCAACATTCTTTTTTCACTATCCTTTTTTATCATTATTCTTTATCATTATAATATAATTAAATTCTAAAAATTTTTCCAACTCATAAAAACTTTTTTGCTTTAAAATTTAGATATCCAGAAAATGAAGAGTCATTACGTCGAATATATCCAAATTTTGTAACTAATTATATGAAACAGAGTGATGTGGTGATTATATTTACGCATTACTATTATCTTAAAATGCAGAAAAATATAGTAACGACGGAAGTTGGTCGTTCACTTTTTGCAACAGTTCATGGTGTACGATATATCGAATGGTACCTTACAATATTAATTAGATTATTCCATTAAAATATAGCTTTATCATCATTATTACATTATCACATGAATAAGTGCCATCAAATTCAATGATAATTGATTGGATCATGATCAAATTGATATGATATTCTCCCATTTTAAATCAATAATATAAGATCAGATTATTACGTAAACACGATAATACGATCAGTATCAATAACATTAAATCTAAATCATTATTTAATAAGATTAAATCAATGTTGTTTATTACGGAAGATCGATTTCGTTACGAATCAACAAAAATATCACTCATTATTATGTTTAAAAAATAATATTTCATATTTAAATATTCAAAAAAATTGTCTTCCTATTTTTGTATTCAAAAATTTACCTTTTTGTCTGTCATCGCATAGTTCGTATCAGAAATTAATTATTTTAAAAATAAAATTGTCACCAAAAAAAAACTATTTTCTTTTTTTGATCAAAAGATTTTTGCTAACTCAACGATATACAATAGGTTTTAATACAATTTATCCGTTCAATTATAATTTATTTTATAATGAAAAATTCATTTGCATATCGCAATACTCATCGAATATCATTTTTAAATAAAATATGTAAAAATTTAAGAAAGAAATTTTCTTGTTTGAAAAAATTTTTAGCCATACATTATGTATACACATATGTATATTATATGTAAATAACATATATATATATATATATATTAAATATTTATGAATACCGTATATGCCATATAATCGTATAACCGTATATTATTAAATATTTATATACCGTATGAATACCGTATACGTTGCATATGTATCATATACATACTGTACATATCAAATGAAAGGTAAAAAGGAAATGAGGAATAAATGAACTGAATTAAATAGGAATAATTATTCAATCTCTATATAAGCAAAAAAAAAAATAAAAACTTTTCGAACGTTTTTTTATAAACATAAAATAATTAATTAATTAAAGCATTAAAATTTTCATTAACTATATGTAGAAGTACTTCTAAAGAAAAGTTTGAAAAGTTAATTTATTATTTTGGCAATTTAATATTCTTCTTTTCAAAAATAATTCAATATTTCAATTATTATTTTTTGTTTAAAATGATTTTAATAAATTAATAATCCTACAATCTTTATATTCTTTGTAAGCGTATTCATTTTTGAAAAACGATTTAATATTAATTTAATTTACATATGTCGTAATTTAATATTCTTCGTTCATAAATAATTCAACACTTCCACTAATTATTTTTGTTCAAAATATTAATAATCTCATGATCTTTATAATCGTATTTGTTTTTGAAAAGTGATTTAATATTCATTTAATTTACATATGTAGTAATTTAATATTCTTCTTTTCAAAAATAATTATTTTAATTATTTATTTTCGCTCAAAATGATTTTAACATATTAGTAATCTCATAATCTTTATTATCTTATTTGTTTTTGAAAAATGATTTAATATTAATTTAATTTACATGTATATATATATATATATATATCGATAATTCATTTTATTTTATTTATAAATTCAAAAGTAGATGGCTTTTTTTGGTTATAAAAATTGCTATGAATTAAATAGGCGGAAATATTTTTCATTGCAGGACATTGCATATAAGAAAAATGGGAAGAGAATTTGCGATTGAATTGGTACGTCAAACTGACGCTAATATTAAAGGCGAATTTCGGATACAATTTCGTGCGCAATCAAGTAGTAGTAGAAGAAGTTAGTTTTATAAGTTCATTTTGTGAAATTTAAAAATTTCTAAATAAATTCGCTTTTTCTTTTTTCATCCTGAAATGAATTGTTTAATTTTTATTTTGTTTAGCGAGAAAAATCAAAAGAAACAAAGAAATATAATTGTGTAATAATTTAAAAATATAAAACTAAGAAAAGAGAGAAAAAAAAAGAATTGAAAAGAAATTTAAGAATATGAATTTGAAGTAAAGAAATGAATTAAAATAATTATGCGATTTTATACTAAAATATAAAAATACGAAAAATACGAGGAAGAAAGAAAACAAAGTTTATTTATTACCAAAATTTCAGTTTTATAATAAATGTTAATTTTGGGAAAAAATTTTCAGTTGGGATTTCATTTTAATTTAACCATTAAAAAAATGATTTCTAGGAAGTCATTTCTGTTCCTTACCTTTTGCTTCAAACTTCTTTTACTCTTTCCTCTTCCGGTCCCTTCATTCATTCATTTCGTATAACAATTTAGGCTAAGAATATAATTCATTTCGTGATTTGGAGAATTGAACAGAATGTTTTGCAGTTGAATGCTTCCCAGCACTATGGCACGAATTAAAACATCGGGTGGAATATATCCCACGTTATGATGAAACATTAACAAAATTATATCAAAGTGATGAATTTAATCCGGGTCAATTAAAAATTGAAATAAAATTAGCATTTGCATTAGATGATTTCAATTATATCATATCGGATGTTAATATTAATCCGTTACTTTGTTTGGAACCGGGAAGTGGAATTGATGAACGATTGAAATCATTAGCATTTGTTAAGAAAACTGGTAAAAGGTATGTTTTATTTTAATTAATTTAAATAAATTAACTTGAAAAATAAATTTAAAAATTCAAATTTTGAAACTAATTAATTATTATTTTATTAATGAGTAATTTAGCTTAACTTGTTAATTAATACTTTCATAAAAATTAACAGTGATAAGACATAATATTAAATTTTAAAAAGTTTTACTCGTTGTTAATGAATAATATACCTGAGGAAATATATTAATTGGATAATTAGGTAAATGTTATACTAAAGGTTCGACATTGTCGAATTTCTCAAGTGAATAATCCATAATAAAGGATAAGAGATTATTCATTATTCATTATTAATTGTTATTAATTAGCTAATTAAATAAATGTTATACTAAAAGTTCGATATTGTTCAATTCCTCAAGTAAATAATTCATAACAAAGGATAAGAAATGAATCCGTCGATTAAGAATGATTAATTAATTAATTAAATAAATGTTATACTAAAAATTCGACAGTGTTAAATTTTCAACCGAATAATACAAGCAAATAAAATATATCCGAAATGATGAAATTTGCAATTTTTTGATGAAATTTGGAAAATTTTTTATACTTGAAATTGTTTTCTTTTTGATGAAATAAAATTTTTTGCATGTAAAATTATTTTTGCTAAATAAATTATTTTAGTATAATAATAAAAGATTAATAAATCGTTGATTAAAATTAAATTCTTCATTTTAAAAAAACAAAAAAGAAATTGAAATAAACTTGCAATGAATTAGTTTTCAGAAAGTATAATATTGAATGCTTGGATGATGAAGTAATATCATACGATCGGCATAGTTTATATGTAACATGCCGTTACATTCATGATTACATGGATAATCATCCAGATGAAAATTTAATTCGTATAGAATTTAATTCAATTACAGTTGAGCAGGTAATGCAATAAATATCAATAAGTTAATTATTTCGAAACTTCTTTTATTTTATTATTTCTGCAAAAGTTTTATCAAAAAAAAAAATATAAACAAATTTGAAAAATTAATTAATTAGTTTAATTTTAATCAATAATTTCAGATAATTTTAGTATAAAGGGTTAAATAAAAATTTAAAAAAAATTTTTAATTAATTATTTTTATTGTAATTAAAAATTTTTTGGCTAATTAAATTCAATGAATGAATTAGTTTATAAAAGTTTATTCAAATATAAATTAATATTAATTGAAATATTTGATAATTTGCAGGTATTATCATTTGCATTTACTGGTGTATGTCGAATGAGGTATTATGGTGGAAGTTTAAAATCGACTGATTCTATTAATTATCAACAATTTCTTGCTTGCTTGAATTTGCTACAACCATTAATGTATCAGGAATTATTGCAAATGCATGATGATAATTTTTGTAGCATTTTTCAGAAGGTTATCAAAATTATTTTAAGTAATTAAATAACATTCATTTCTTATCCATGCATAACTTGAATATCATATTATTTCAAGCTATTCTCAATTTCATTAATACATTTAATCGTATTTCAATTTCAGATATTTTAATTAAGTTATAATATAAACAAGAAATAACTAACTACTGCATCTTTCCTTCTTATTTTCAGCAACTATTCTTTATTTCAAAAAATTGATTTTACTGATTTCATCAATATTTTCTAATAGATAATACCATAGTACCGTAGTCTATAATTATACCATAGTATACCACAGTATATTACTATTTTTTTCTATTTTCTAACAGATAATACCATAGTACCATAATCTATTACTATTTTTGATTATTTTACTAACAGATAATACCGTAGTACCATATCCTATTATTATACCATAGTATACCATAGATAATACCATCATAGTCTATTATTATTTTTAATTATTAAATTTCTAATTAGACATCCAATTAAAATAAAGTATCCTTTATTAACTGTTACTGCTTATCATATTTACATTTATTACAATTAATGATTAATTGCGAAAAAAAAAATTTGTCGAAATTATTATTTAATTCATTTTAGGCATGCAATGCAGCACGACCACCGTGCGAAGCTAATACACTTCAATTTCTACGTCTTGCGATACGATTTGGTTTTCCGAAACTTGAAGCTTGCACAATTGCGCGAATTGTTTCAGAATTTCCTAACAAATATTCGTAAGAAAAATTCGTAGTTTTATTTTTAGCTCTCATAAAATTAATTAATCTCAATTAAAATTTAGAAATAACTTATTACAAAAGTTTTGTTCCAATTTTTTATTTTCAATTTAATTTATACGAGAAACAAAGCTGTAATTAAAAGTTAAATTTTTAATTATAAAAAGTTCATACGTAATTTTAGATTTTATAAAATTTTCGAAAGCTTATAAAAACAAATAATACCGATAATATAGTTTCTCGTAATCAATGAATCATCAGCGTTGTTTTGTTAATTTTCATTTTAAATCTTAATTTTAGTCAATTTAATCGAATAATTTCAGTTTACATTTAAATGTTGATGAGCAACCAAATATCATCGATGAAATGATACAAGCTCGATTTGATTATGAGATGTATGTAGAACGTGATGATTGGGCTGATTGGACAATACCGCAATTGTCACCATTAGAGCGAATTGAATTATTAAAAGCTAAATGCAAACAGGTGCATAAATGGATTGGCCAGGGATTAAAATCTGATATACCGGAGCCTGAATCACCACCAGTATCTCCTGAAGAGAATCTTTTCGAAACTTCACCAATACTACGATCATTATATACCTATAATGCTATGGAAGAATTAGATTAAAAGAAAACGATAAAATTCAATTTGATATATTCAATTACTAACATTTATTACTGACAAATATATTGAAGATTATACATATATTTGAATAAAACTATTTCAATCAGCAATTAATCTGTCAGCAATTAATATAAAAACAAAAAAATAAAATGAAAAATTTTAATGCAATAAATGAAGTTTAAAGATCTTCAAGTATTTTGTCGAATTTCTTTCTTTGATTTAATTTATTCTTCTTTCTTTAGACAAATAATTATTTAAATTTCCTTCTTACCTTTCAAAAGAAATACTGAAATAAATGTTATCGAAAAAAAAATTAGCTAATCAAAAACATAGTTGTTGTTGTTGTTGTTGCCAGTTCAATTCAGGCTTTTAATATTTATGGCTTTTCTAATATCGCAAATAATGCGATCAGTAACGGATACTACTGGTTATTTTAACTTAAAATCATCAACTAAAATAAAACTAAAATCACGAACTAAAATATTAATGAAATGTAATAAATTAATAATGCTTGATTAATATGAAATAGATATATTAAAATTTTGTTACAACGATTTTCTTTGACTTCGATTTTTCTTTTTCCTTCTGATTGCTTTATTTACTGAAAATATTATTTAGCTATAGAAATAAATAGCCATTAAATTTTACTAATGCTTTGTTAATTCATTTGTTTGACCATTGTCCACCAGCAAATATAATATTTACAACAATTATTGACCATTGTCCACTAATAATTATTAAAATATTTTCAACAATTATTCATATGAAAAGAAACGATGAAAAAATGAGCTGAAATGAATGATTGAAATTTATTTAATATATTTCCTTTTTCTTATCATTAATTTGCTTAATTTAAAATATCACAAAATCTGCTTAATATAACAATATTTAATTGTTTTATCACTGATTGAAAAATTCTATTTTATTTACTTAATATGTTATCATATAAGATTTATCAGTTTACTTTGATCAGTCATATCATTATTGCTTAGTTTAAACAATACTAATTAATCATAATATTAAAAAAATACATGCTTAAGATGATAATCATTAAATTTTTGATTTATCCATTTTTGATTTCAATTTTTTTCACACAAAAATTATCTAAAAATTTTCAAACATTAATTAATTATGCTACTTAGAAATGTTGGAATAATATTAATAATAACGATAGCATTATATTTTTCACAGCAATTAATAATTAACATATATCAAAACAATATATCATTATACGATACAATTAATTAAATTCTAAATAATTAAAAATTTTGTAATTTTTTATGTTAACCTAAATAAAATGAATAAAATGATAAAATTACAAAAAAGTATTGTATTTCCTTTTGATGAAATTTTATTCCTTCGCGATTTAATTGTTGTAAATTTTTCAACGATATCATCACAACCTGTTTTACAATGTATCACACCTGCTTGAACATTCATATCAATGCAAACGCATTTTGCTATTTCACCACAAAATCGTGCACGATATTGAACAAGCTAAAAAATACTATAATTTAATTCTATTATACAGTTTCGGTATTATTATTCTTATTCAGGTATAGAGCACGATATTGAACAAACTACAAAAATATATTGAACATTTTCATTATTTAAATATAGTAATTTGATTCCATCATACAATTTCAGTATTATTATTCTTATTAAGATATTGATATTATCAATATATCAATATTAAGATATCACAAGAAGAAATTAAATATTATAAAAAAATCAATTAAATTATTATGATTATAAACATACGTGCTTATCGACAAATTCGATAATATCAGATTTAATTTTTTTATATGAAAAATGTTAAATATAATATAATAAATTAAATTTAAATAATATGAATAATAAATTAATGATATAATTTAAACATTCATTATTGCCAAAAATTATAAATTAAATGAATGTCGGAATTTTTTTTTCACAATAATTAATTAGGATATTAAATTTTTTAATTAATGAATTTTAATTATTACCTTTCTTAGTGTTATTTTAAAGCGATGACATAAATTCATTTCATAAATAAAGCCTGATAGGCTTATTTTTTTTGCTATCTTAACCAATTTTAAATAGCTGCTGTTCTCTTCTTGTCGTTCTTCAATGTTTAGCATTTGTTCACATTTCATACGACTTTCATGTGAGCATGTCTGTGAGCATAGCTAAAACAATTAATAGTAATTAAATTGATTGTGAAATATTATTTTTAAAGAAAACAAAACTACTTCCCATCTAAATTCATACCTATTCATAACACATGGCTGTCTTGAAATTAGATGAAAATAAATGAAGTGGAGAAGAAACTGAAATGAGTCGGTGTAGTTAAAAAGTAAGCAAATATAATTAAAATAGGTAAATAAGGTTGGAAAAAATTGATAAGCATGTTTGAATAAAAATAAGCGAATAAATAGTAAATAAAAATATGTAAACATAAATTTATTATAATAAATTACATTGATCAAAACTGTCCTAATAATTCGATTCCATCAAATATTCGTCATGGCGATACTAAAATTATTTTTTGATATTTTCATTTACTAATTAATTTGAATGAAAATATATTGAATAAATAAATTAATTGCAAATTAATGAATAGTTTTTATTTAAATCTTCTTTTGTTTTATTTCTTTAAAGGACTTAGATTATACTAAAAAAAATGAAAAATACTATTATTTGTTTAATTACTAATACATAATATATAAATAATATATAATATTAATATATAATTAATTTATGATTAATATATGAATACATAATATTAATTAATATGTAATTACTAATATAAAAATACTAATTATTTGTTTAATTAGAGAAGCAAAATGATTATCATTCTAATTTGCATAAACTATTATAAAATTATTAATTTGAAACAGATTAGTAAAAACAATAATTTAAACAATTTATTACCAATTTTAAATGCTTTATTTTAACTTCCTACAGGTTTTAGTAATTTCAGGTATTTTTTAATAAAAGAACAATTAACAAAATTAAATTCAAATATTATTTTTTGTAAAATAAAATTCGAAAATAAAAATAGGAAGAAAGTTTTAGAAATCCATTCAATGCGATGTAAATATTAATCGTTCATATTTCCTTCTTATTATTTACTACTTTTATTCTTCTGTAAATAAATTTGAAATTTATTTTTGAATGCTTATCTTTTGTGTGATCAAATTTAAAATTTATTTGAATGAATTATTTGGAAATTAATATTTTGCGATTTAAAAAGATTTAAGAAGTTTTTTCGCTGAACATGATATATTATAGTTAGTGAAATAATTTTGATTCCATTCTAATAAATATAGTTAGGGAGATAATTTTGATTCCATTCCATTTTAATAAATATAGTTAGTGAAATAACTTTGATTCCATTCTAATAAATATAATCTCTTATAAGCTTTCGTCGAAATTTTAAAGTTAATTATAAAATAAGTTTCATACAAAATTGATCGTTGTTTATCATACTGATAAATGATTGATAGTTTATTATTTTCATCATTATAAGTAACTTTATTGGCAACTGATAACAATCATTTCTTAATAATAGCACAATATCTTTTTTTGTATTACTATGATAGAATTATTTCGAGGATTATTGTAATTAAATCAATTAAATTAAAACAATAAAGTTGCACTCTGCGATTTAAAAAAAAAATAATTTTACTCGTATAGCATATCCACGATGTGCTAAAAACATCTGTATTGGTAAATTGCGCCCATGAATTTGATTGAATACAGTTGAAGCAATCTGTAAATTTGCTATTACATATAATTACATTTAGAGAATACGGAAAAAATTTAGGATAAAAATTCAAAAATAATTTTAACAAAATTTTCGGCAAAATAAAAAATTATCCAAAATGAGTGAATAGCTAAAATTTTGTCGCAAAAATTTTATATTAAAAAATTTTCTACACATTTTGTGAGAATAATAAAAGTTTTCAAGTTTTAAAATTTATATTAAAAAATTTTGTTCTAACATTTATTTAAAAAAAAGAAATTAATTTACGTGCGCTGCATAATCATCCTGGCATTTGTTATTGTTGAAACATGACAGATAATGTCGATTTGCTGCACATAGATGCTGATTTCGTGGCATCATAACGTGCATTACACTTCTTAACGAAATTCGTTCGCGTATCATCGATGTTTCTGACAGTCGAATTTTATCATTCTCATCATTTCGTCTAATACGCATTGTCTAAAATATATCATTTTCCGTTTTTTTTTTTTTTTGTCACACTACTTTCCTGTTATCTAAAGCTTATTTCACTTTTCGTATTGGAATTTTCTTGCGCAAAAACTGATTTTCCTGAATGCCATTTCCGATTCATTTAATTGAATTCATTATCAATATTCATTTAGAAGAATATTCATTTAATTGAATTCATTATCAATTTCTCAAAATTTGCATTACTTCTTCACTTAAGTAAAAAATAGAAGAAATTCAAAGAACATTTTCAGAGATTACTTTGATAAATCCTTCAAATTAAATTTTGGAAATTATCATGGAATGAAATTAAAACATTTCATAATGAGTATTTATTGAAAAAATTTTTTTAATACTATCATTAAATGTTTTGAATTTATTTTTTTGAACATTATCCTATTTCAATTTTTAACAATATGTTTAAGGAAATGAAAAGAATAATTCTGATTTTAAGTTATTCAAGAAAAACTCAAAGAAAAAATTAAACGGCCAAAATTTCAAATACCTGAAAAGCACTTTCGAAACATTGTTCAAGTTTTAAACGATTGCAATGATTTTGATTAGCAATGGATTCAAAGAAGAATGCCATATTTGGTGATAAGGATAGTAGCAGTAATAGAAATCTGATAGCTTTTATTGTAATTATCGTAATCATTTGTGTATTACATTATCACTTTATCATCGTTTTTCTCATTATTCCTGTCATTTTTAAATTGTTGTTGAAGCAATTTTGATAAGATCTAAAATTAAGAGTTGCAATTTCGAATGTTTCAAATTGATAAAAAGCATTTGAGAAATGAAAAAATTCAAATAAATATTTTTAGAAAATACTTAAATCATTCGAGGATTTATTAAGCATAGCTTATTTTATTGAAAAGAAAAATCATTCCATTAAATACTTTAAGTCAATTTTTGATGATTATACAGACATACAGATATATTCACACATATATATATATATATACGTACATATTTTATTCAGAATACGGTATACAAAATGTGATGTAGAGTCTACTGTAAGCGTGTTGAGATATTTAGGGTAAGCTAGAAAAAGGATTGGTTTAGTGAATTATGATAAATAACTGAAAAAAAAAATAGTATCAGTAATTTCGTGAATTTAATTAAAATGCATAAAATAACGAAAGCAAAAATTATCTGCTGATGAGTAGATAACATATATGATATGCATTTCTTTTTCTGTATCTGTATGGTATATCCAGTTTGTAATATCAGATGCTATCGTAAGCTAAGAGAATTTTAGGATTGATGGGAAAGATTACGATGGAAGTAGTTGTACAAACAAACTATTCATTGTATCAACTTATTTGAATTGCAGCACTATAATTATGAATGATTAGGAAATGGAAGAAAATAAGGATGTTGTAGAATGTGTAAAATAGAGATTAGGAAATGGAAGTAAGTAAGCGTATTGTAGAATATGCAAAATGGAAAGCAATTTGATTTTAGGATAGTTTTAAAAAAAAAGGCCTGAAAATATGCAATATCTGTCAGCTTAAATATAATCTCTAAGTTCAAATATTAGAATCAAACAAAAATGATGATAAGCAGTTGGAAATTTTTGTGACAAAAATCTTTTCTTTTTTTACAATATGAAATAATTATGAAATAAAATTTTCTTTATTAAATTTATGGAAAAAGTCCGGCTAAAAATAATTTTGACACTTTGAGAATATTTCTGAAATAAGGGAAAACCTTATTTCATTAGCTTTTATTACTTAAATTTCAAAAGAAATGATTTGACGAAAAAATTTTGCTAAATGAGAATTTAACATTTAATCCTAAAATTATTTTCATCTAAGGCTTTATGATTTTAATTTAAAAAAAAAATCTTCACGATTTATTGCGGTCTAGTTCTCATCAATTATTGTATATATAATTATGTTAAATTCTTATTTAGCAAAATTTTTTCCTTAATTATTAATTAACCTAATATGACATCATAAATTGATGGAGAAGAAGAAAAGAAAGAAGTAACTAAAAATAAAGAATTGACAAATTTCAAAATTTTATTGAGTATTTATGCTAGGAGGAAGTTTATGGGATGATTCGTAATTTATTCTAAATTCATTAAGCAAATTTTTCACGTTCATTCTTTTAATTTTCTTTTTCTTCTCTTACTTCTCTTCTTTTTTAATTATTCTTTCTCTCCCATATTTTTTATTTAATATTTGTGTGTGTGTGTGTGTGTGAAATTATCGTAAAAATTCATTTCAATATGAAATATAAGGGAATTAATTACTTTGATACGATAATTAAGCATGATTTTAGAGCACTAATTTTATACCACTGAAATAATTATAATTTATTATATATATTACCACTGAAATAATCATAATTTATTATATATTATTTTTTATAATTCATTTTGTATATTAGTTATTAATTAACCTAAGCAGAATTTTGTCACGATTTATCGCGGATTATTTCCCGTTAATTACTGTGTATAATAATATAAATAACTTAATATAATTTATCATAACTTATTATGTATTTTCTATAATTATAAATATGTTAATTGATAAACATTAAATAGTACAAATTGAAGGACAGTAAATTAATGCTAATATTTTCTCCTTTTTTTTCACTCTTTCAACAATTGAATTTATTTTTCCAAATTGTAATATTTTCCTACAATTATTTTTGTCTTTCACATATCTTCATTTAAATTTTATCCTTCGAAATTTAAATTGATCAATTATTGTAAATGAAATTATCAAAATAAATAATAACCCAATCCCGATTAAATGCTCTATTGATTTGATTAATTTTATATTAGAATATTTTGGAGGATATCCGCACGGAATATTACTTATTTATATTTATATGATTTCAGGAGAATGGAATACAGGAAGAATGAAATGAAATGTTTTAAATTGAAAATTTAATTTTTATTTTAAATTAAAAATCTCATTTAAAAATTTTATTTTTCTTTCCTTACTTTCTAAACGATAATAAATGATTAGCTTTACTCAATGACTTGTATCATCATCCCTTAATCATTATGTATTATACGTATGTATAATTTGATATTATAATTTAAACTTTAAACCATTTCAAAATTGATCACAAATTAGCTATTTCAATTTTTGGTTTTAGGGATAAAATTTCTCAATGAAAAAAAAAACCGAACAAATTTGGTACCATAAAATTACTGTATTCTTCTAGCAATTTAAATTTTGCAATAAAATGTAATAAATATTAGTGGTATAAAATTATGCTTAATTATCGTATCAAAGTAATTAATTTCCTTAATGAATTTTTACGATAATTTCACACACACACACACACACACACACACACACACAAAATATTAAATAATGATAAAGAGAGAAAGAATAATTAAAAAAAAGGAAGAGAAGTCAAAGAAGTAAAAGAAAATGAAAAGAATGAACGTGAAAAATTTGCTTAATGAATTTAGAATAAATTACGAATCATTCCAATAAATTTCCTCCTAGCATAAATGCTCAATAAAATTTTGAAATTTGTCAATTTCTTATTTTTAGTTACTTCGTTCTTTTCCTCTTCTTCATCGATTTATGATGGCTGGAACGAATGAAAAGATGTAAAAACCTATTAATGAAACAAAATTTTCTTCAGACAACATTTTGCTCTTTCACTTTCTTTATTCGTTCATTTAATTTTTAGTTTACAAATTTTTTTCTTTCTTATAAAATTTTCAAAAATAATCAATCTATCTATAAGACGAAAATATTTCATTGAAGATTTTTTAGCATATAACTTTTTATTATTCTCATATAAATCATACATAATAAAATTTAAATGACTTAGTCTTCTTCATTTAATTGACCTAAATTATTATTTGATTTAGCTTTTTTTTTAGTTACAAAATTTTGGATTTTTCAAATATGAACAAATCCATTAATAGAAATTATCTCAATGATATAGTTTTTCTATATGAATAAATTTATTAATAGAAATTATTAATAGAAAGTCTAAATGATATTGTTTATTTATATGAATAAATTTATTAATTGAAATTATCTAAATGATATTGTTTATTTATATGAATAAATTTATTAATTGAAATTATCTAAATGATATAGTTTATCTATATGAATAAATTTATTAATTGAAATTATCTAAATGATATAGTTTATTTATATGAATAAATTTATTAATTGAAATTATCTAAATGATATAGTTTATCTATATGAATAAATTTACTAATAGAAATTAACTAAATGATATAGTTTGCGAATTTTTGTAAATTTTTTAGAAATATGGAATTGCTATGGTTTTCGAGACTTTTTAAATCCAAAACAAACGGCTGAGGTTTGTCGTTGTTTTAAATGATTTAATCTTCTTTATTTAATTGACTTAAATTATTATTTAATTTAATTTCCTTTTTAATTACAAAATTTTTGATTTTTTCAAATGTCAACAAATTTAATGAAAAAATGATAAAAATTTTTCAAAAAAAAGAAACCTAAAAAGAAATTGCCCAAATTAAATTTTTTATTTAAATATTAAGAAAAAAAAATTGTGATTAAACATTTAGTTTAAGCTGATAATATGTTATCAATTAAAACGTTATCAGTAGAAAAGAAAAAGATTCATTCTTTAAAAAACTTTACAACTAATTTAATAATTTAATTTTCATCAATTAATCTTTCATTTTAATTTTCTACGACAGATTCTTTTTATTTTCTTTGTTAATTTAAAAAGCTCAATGTAATTTTCCAAAAAAGAAAACTTTATACTTTTTAAAAACATATAAAAACTCAAAAAATATATATTAATTAAAAATTTTTGACAATTTGAAAATATTTAAAACAACGAAAAATCTTAGCCGTTTGTTTTAAATTTAAAAACTCTCAAGAACTATATCAATTTCATATTTTTAAAAAAATTTACTAAAATTCGTAAACTATATCATTGAGATAATTTCTATTAATAAATTTATTCATATAGATAAACTATATCACTGAGATAATTTCTATTAATAAATTTATTCATATAGATAAACAATATCATTTAGACTTTCTATTAATAATTTCTATTAATAAATTAATTCATATAGAAAAACTATATCATTGAGATAATTTCTATTAATAAATTTATTCATATAGATAAACTATATCAATTCTTCTATAATTTCATAAATTGAAAGAATGGATTAAATATTCAAAAAAAAAAAGAATACAAGAGAATAAGTGCTAAAAATTGTTTTTCGTTAAAGTACTAATAAATAAAATAATTCAATTAGTATTAAAATTACCTAAAATTACCTAAAAAAAAAAAAAAAAATCTCAGAGCAATAAAAGGAACTGCATTTTTTCATATTACGTGACTTTTTATAAAACCAATTTCTTTTTTTAAATTAGCAAAATAAATGGCTAAGAAGTATGAGTGGAAGAGAGTGAGAGAAAGGCGGATAGTGAGCGAAAGGAAGAATTGAAAGAAATATAATTGGCTAAATAATTTAACTCATCAATTTATTTGATTTTATTTTTTTATCATCATTTTTGTGATGCAAAATAGAGGTAAAAAGTAAGAAGGCAAGAAAAAGAAAAATAGAGAGAGACAGAGAGAGAAGGTAAAGAGAGAGACAAAAAATGTGAGAAAATTTATTCATTTTATAATTGAAATTGAATAATTTAAAATTGAATAAAT